CCTTCTCTGCCATCTTGGCTTCTTCCACCACAGGAGCAGCCACTTCCATTGCTTCGCCAATGGTCACCATGTTGCGCCTCCTTCTGATTTTCTGGGTACACCAGTAAAAACCCCCCAACAGTCCCATTAAGACCATAACTAGGGCACTCACAGCACAGACAACACCAACCCAACAAAATTGAAGAGTGGTAATCATACCTTTCGTGTACCGCCGCCAACGAGAAGGGTATTCCTGCTTCTGGTATAACTTCCACCACTGCCGACACCTGATTTTATTTGGTGAATCGGCAAACCTCACCGTGGACAATAAATAGGTCCACTTCGGGGCTAATCGGAGGACCGTTCGCTGGGCGGTCTCCTGATTCGGAATTATCCCCATGGATCTTCGAATCTGGACATACCGGGCGAAAAGATCGACCTCCGTTTTCAGCCGATGCAATCTCCCCGCACCTCCGATAGTCTCTCCTGTTCGCCGAAAAATTCGCACACCTCCTCCACAAGGAGACCAACGATTCAAATCCACCTCACCCTCTCTATAAGCAGAGGGGAGTACCATTCTTGCTGCTATCCTCAGGATCAGCCATCGAAATCCCGCCGCCAAAACCCTAGATGGCTTGAGGGCCGCCACGAAAAGCCAACAGATGAGAGAGGAGAGAGCGTTCAACATTTTTTTTTTTTTTCAGAAGAAATTATTATCAAAAAATGAAATTCCTCCTATATCCCCCATAAAAGTCCAAACGTGTGCAAGCCCGTACATCGTGGATCGGGGGAATCTAAGTATCTAACTCTTCGAGCTCTCAAACCGGGCATCTTCAACCCTGGACCCCGACTCAGTGATCGGATAGCGAGATCCTCTTGACTTCCAGTCGATGACAGATGATCTAATTCAAGTCATGTCAATAAATATCCACTTTGACTTGAATCATCCACCTACCTGAATCTCTCTTGTACTACGATCCTCTATCTATATCCTGCTTCAATGCCCCTGAGGGCGGATTTATCCACTCATGACATACAGCAAGTCCAACCAGTGTTGGAACTTGCAATGTGTAACCGGCTTTGTGGACATATCAACACGATTGTCGTAGTGCCCACTTTCTTCACCTTAATCTTCTTCTCTGTGATCAAGAAATTATACCCCTTGTTATAAGAACCGAACCGGATCAACGGTCGGGCCAGTAGAACCATCAAACCAGTTACGATAGCGGTCCGGTTTATTGTTTGAACGGTTATTGATGGACCAAACGGTTTTTCACGGTTCAACATAAAATCAGATGAACCGACACGGTTTAACTGGTCCATTGGTTCACTATTTAAACAAAAAAAATATTTTAACATAAACTAAGACCATCAAATCATAATTATTAATTTTATATATGCTTCCTCAACCTTATTGTCGATTTTACATTGTCTACTACCAACTAGAACCGTAATTTTTAATTTGAATTAAAAAATGTGGTTTCTTTTGTGAGATGGTTGGAATGATTTATTAGATATTTTCGTGATGATATGAGTTTGAACTTGTTTATGGTCAACGATAATTTTATTCTTAAATTAGTGTAATATACAAGTCTTCTATGTTATATATCATTAATGGTTCTATCTACGGTTCACCAACGGTTTTGTAACGGTTAATCGGTGAACCCTTCAACCATTAACTTTTCCGGTTTAACCTCCGGTCCGGTTATGAAACAGAGGTTATATATCATTAACGGTTCTATCAACGGTTCACCAACGGTTTTGTAACGATTAACCAGTGAACCCTTAAACCACTAACTTTTCCGGTTCAGCCTCCGGTCCGGTTCTGAAAACAGAGAATTTATACCTCACATCGATGTGTTTAGTCGTTTCATGACGGACTTGATACTTGACCAAGTATATCGCACTCGAACTATTACAAGCATATAGCACTTAAAACCTAAATTTGAATATTTTTCAAGTAAGTCCTAAAAATATATGGAAAATAACATTTTAGTATATCTATTTTTTCTTTTGATACCTAAACTTTTAAAGTTCGACAAACATGTCCCTTTTTATACTACATACATGTCCGAATTTATATGTGTAAGAAACGAAGAAACACATACCCCACTCATATCTTAACAGAATATTGTAGGAATATACATACCCGACTCAAATCTCAGCAAATATCCAAATAGATGTAAAACACGATCCAAACTCTATCAACAATTGATGATTTTACAATGCATGTATGGGTAATTGTACGGAATCACGAATTGGATCATTTCATCCTCAAATTTGAGATTTTGGATTGAGATGAATGATAGAGAAAAGTACCAAATGATTGTACTAGTGAGTAGTGACCATTTAGTTGACCACATTTTTTATATATTTAAATTTGAAAGACGTCACATGTAGATTCCACTTAATGGTTAAGTGGGGAGAACAAGTGCTGCCATCAAACTTTTTTATATGGCCAGTGTTTTGTGACGAATGATTCCAACACCACATTCGATTGGACCTTTTTTTAAAATAAAATAAAAACTTGTCCATTAACATCAACTCATCAAAGGTTGAGATTTTGCGAGTTCAAGTTCCCTGCTCGCTCGGCCTATCCACCATAGAGATACCATCAAATTATATTTCTTATTGCATTCATTTTATTATATATATTCGATCTTCTCCATATTTAATATTCACATATACTGAGAGAGTGATATGAAATAAGGATTAAATGTCACAACAACAATTCCTATGCTGGTTGGTTGTTGTGGGAGGAGATATGATTCTCTTTAACAAGATTAGTTGGATAGCCCACCATAAACACCAGTGGATTACAAAGTGGAAATTGGAGTTGTTGAGCTCTAATTAACCCTTCTGTGTTCTGAAGAGGTGGGAAACCATTGTTTAGTGCAAGTCTGCAAGATATAGAAAGTCGTAATGGATGGGCTGTTTGTGGGGTTAAGTGAAAAGTAAATAGTTAATCGCCAAAATCATTAAAAAAAACGAGTAAAATGATGTTTTAGCCTAAAACATGTTAGATCGATGATGTTTTAATAGTGTAGTTATAAGTACTAACAGTTTTAGTCACAGAACAAATCTTTTAATAACATTATATATGTAAGTGTCCAACTCATTAGTACAAGGTATTTTAAGAAAGGTGGTCAAGGACAAATTTGTGAGGATTTGGCCAAAGCGAACAATAACATATTAACATGCAATATAATGCATGGTCTAAACAAGCGATATCCAGCTAAAGATTCAGATTTCAAGATGGTGGATTGCAGTTACGAGAAAGAACAACCCTCGTTGAGTGACTACGCGATTGGGAGATCTGCATCTCGTTGATCAAATAGAGATATACATCTGGTTTCCTTTGTCAAGAAGCCTAGTAATGTTGGGTGCATGGCGGCTGGACAATCGATACGAGGGGAGGCAATGACATTTGTGGTCCTTGGTTTGAGAGATTATTGTTGGGATGCAATTCAAGTGCGATATTGAAAAAATAAGAGATCATCTCGTTGTATTTCCACCTAACTCCATCGGCAAGAGTTTTTTTCTAAAGATGCCTAGGAATAAATTTATGCGATCTAGGCCCAAATGGAAAATAAGGTACTAATGCACATTGTATAGTCTCAACAAGTGGTACAAGAGTTTAAGGTTCGGTTTTCAGGATAGTGGATCACAACTGTGGAAGGGGAACCCTCGTTAAGTGACCTCACTATTGTAGATTTGTATAAGATTTCTTATGTCGAGAAATCTGGGGATCGATTATCAATTAGAGAGGAGGCCACCACGTTCGTGGTCGTTGACTTGAGTGGAGGATTGTTGGTGTGCAATCCATGTATCACTTTGTAAAAAAGGTCTCACGTATATATACTATATGTGTCCACCTAGCTCTATCAATACAATATCTTATAGGAAGGTGCCCAGAAATAAAATCGTATGAGGTTTGCTCAAAGTCGACAATGTCGCACTAATGTGTAGTGTATGGTCTCAACAAGTGGTACAAGATCATGGTTTGAGAGTTTAGTTCCAATGCACTAGAATGAATTTTTGTGGACCTTGTTATGTTACATGGCGATTAGAGATAGGCATTTAGAGGATCGAATGGAGATCCAAATTTTGTTTTTCTGCTGGAAAGTCTGGCAATGGAAAGATGGTTGGTGGATCAAATGGTGATATGCATATGGTTCTTTGTGTTGAAAAGTCTCACGATCCAAGGTGGTTGGTGCATCAACAAATCGTTGGAGGGGAGGTCACCACATTTTTGTGACTTCGGCATGAGAGAGGATTGTTGGGGTCTGGCGATACAATGCAAGTATCATATCGGAAAAACAAAAGAGAACCCCATTGTGTATAAGTGTTCGTATAACCTATTAGTACCGGACATTTCATAAAGGCGCCCAAAAACAAATCCTTACGAACTTTACTCGAAGTTAACAATGTCATACTAACATGCAATACATAGTCTCAACACACATTTAAGCCACCCTAATTACATGGGTAGAGTAGAAACTCAATGTCCTAATACAATCATCCATTGCACAAGATCGAATAGGCTTAGCCGTATCGTTAACAAGAGAACTCCTAAAACTCCTACGTTATCTTCCTTAAACTTACCGAAATCTACCGTTTCCCTACAATAACCATTTGAGTTTGGTAGTGTGTGTCCTATTCGAAGAAGAAAGAGGACCAAAATCGAAATTTCGCCGAGAGGCAGGGACCAATCGGATAGTTATCATCAAAAGCAGTTGGGAAAACAGAGCAAAATCCGTGCCCTCCTTTCAAAAAGCAAAGCCCAACAAGTAATAGCTTTATTAGCGCTGCCGACGACGCCGCGTCTCGCTTTCCCACAACGGCCCTATAAATACGACGCATTCCTCCGCCCTGCTTCACCAACCTGACACGCCTCACCTCCACTCCTCTCTCTCTCTCTCTCCCCTGCCTCCACCCTGCCCCAGAAACCTCCTGACATTTAAACAAACACCTTCCCTGCAATACGCAAATTAACCTAAAGTCTTAAAGAAATGAGATCAATGGGCGGCGGCTCCGAATCCAACGGCATGACTACTACTCCACCATCCGCAATGTTGCCGCCACCGCCAGCGATCCGATCGCCGTGGCACTCTCCGGTGCCGTACCTGTTCGGAGGGCTGGCGGCGATGCTGGGCCTGATTGCCTTCGCCTTGCTCATCTTGGCCTGCTCTTACTGGAGGATTTCCAGCCGCCGTCAACGGGGCGGCGGGGACATCGAGAGCGGGGGCGAGAAAGAAGGGAAGCCGGTGGAGAGTAAGGTTTTCGAGGAGAAGTTTCTGGTGATTATGGCTGGAGACAACCAGCCCACTTTCCTGGCTACCCCTGCTTCGAACAGAGCTGGTGTTTGTGGATGCGGTGACGGCGCCAGAGCCGTGGATAGTGATGGAGCGGAGATGGGTAATGAGGGGAAAGTGAAACAGGGGTTTTACGAACACGGAGAACCAACGACCGCAGCGGCGGAAGAGGGAACGGAGGAAGGGAACGGTGGACAGGAGACGCCGGAGACGCAACAGCAAATGGAGGATCGGAATTGATTAAGTGAGATGTAAGAGGGAGGGAGAGAGAGAGAGAGGCTCGGAGTGATTTGCAGAGACTCCTCACCTCGCCTGGGAATTTAACTCCCGCCAATTTTGTTTCTTTTTCTCGTTTCTGGGTTTTGGTTTTGGAGATTGATCTGGGGTTTGGTCCATTATGTCCCTCCGGCGACCGGAAAATGTAAATTTTGACGAGATGAGTCGAAATTCTTAGATTATATGAGAATATCAAACAGTTTTGAGCCTTACAGCTAAGAAAATGACACTGCAATTGTGCGAATCACAATGTGTTTAGCTACGATTTACAGGCAATAATAACAAGCTTGACAACATGTTCAGAGCATTCCGAAAGTAAGAAACCAATCACAAAACCGTCCTGTTCATTTCTCCTTTTGTCAATTGCTTTCTGGGTTCGATGTGGTTTATCCAATTAAAGAAGAGATGAATAATGAACCCCATTCCATGAACCAAACACGCCATAGTAGGCCAGCTTCTGCAAGCAGAAGTGAAAGAAAGAAAGAAAGAAAGGAAGGAAGAAAGAAAGGAATCGAAACTTTAAGCACAGAACTGCAATTGTTAATTATGTTTTGTAGTGAGATAGGGGGGAAGAATAAAGGCATAAGTGGTAATGGCGTGAGTGAAGAGACAAGATGCTCTGGTGACTAGGGGGGTGCTTAGTCACTTGACTAAGCCCCTCCCAGCCCTTAGATCTGGACACTTCAATCTAATGGTTAAAAAGTGGGAAGGGCTATTTAATTAATGACAGGGGTAGTTTGGGTATTATGGAAAATATACGAAGTATACAAACTGGATTTACAATCAGTACAAACCATACAAACATACGAACAGTACAAACTAGAGCGACAAAACATACAAACATTACAAACGTATGAACTGTACAAACAATACAAACTAGACTGACAAACAATACAAACCATACAAACATACGAACAGTACAAACTAGAGCGACAAAACATACAAACATTACAAACGTATGAACTGTACAAACAATACAAACTAGACTGACAAACAATACAAACCATACAAAAAGAAAAAACCCCCGGGTTGACTTTGGAGGCTCCATCCCTATATAGAGGGGCTCCTTCCAAAAGTCAACCCGGGTGTTTTTTAGACATAAAAAACATTACAAACATGGTTAACAAAACCATACAAACATACGAACAGTACAAACTAGAGCGACAAAACATACAAACAGATTTACAAACATTACAAACGTATGAACTGTACAAATAATACAAACTAGACCGACAAACAATACAAACCATACAAAAAGAAAAAACAACCGGGTTGACTTTCGAGGCTCCATCCCTATATAGAGGGGCTCCTTCCCAAAGTCAACCCGGGTGTTTTTTAGACATACAAACAGTACGAACATGGTGGACAAAAATGACAAACTAGACCGACATTCCATACGAACGGGAAAAAACACCCGGGTTGACTTTGGAGGCTCCATCCCTATATAGAGGGGCTCCTTCCCAAAGTCAACCCGGGTGTTTTTTAAACATAAAAAACATTACGAACATGGTGCACAAAATGACAAAGTTTACAAACATGGTTAACAAAAATAACAAAGTTTACAAACATTACAAAAAAAACCGACAAACATTACAAAATAACAAAGCATACAAACATTACAAAAGATGTCAACAAACATCACAAAATTAGCATTGTCGCCGGGAAATTTTTCTCCGGCGACGATGTTCGTCGGAAAAAATTTTCCGATCAGAAAATTGTACGACCAAAAAAATTCTCTCTTCGACCAAAAAATCTCTCTCTCTCTCTCTCTCTCTCTCTCTCTCTCTCTCTCTCTCTCTCTCTCTCTCTCTGGGGAATGGAATAATGGTCCGTGGGGAATAAAAATGGCGCCCAGGGGAATGGAAATGGCGCCCATTCTTTCTTGGAAAATCTCCGGCGGCGGCGCACCGAGAGGGGTGGCGACGCAAAAATCTCCGACGGCAGCGCACCGGGAGGGAGGGCTCGCAGACTTTTTTTTTAATTAAAAATTAAAAATTAAAAATAAACACGAAATTACTACATTACCCTTCATTAAATTAGGCTAATAGGAGCCCTTGGATTTTAATGAGGTTGAGTGGCTGAGATTCACTTAGCCATATGATTAAGGGGGGTCCCCTTAGTCACCTGATCTCAGCCCCTTCCGCTTCCCTTCCTTCCCCTGACCCCTCCTGTACATTCTTGCTTGTTTCTTTATTTTCCCCGCCGCCGCCCGTCTTATTCCTTCAGCGACGGCGCTGACAGCCCGCCGGCAGCCAGTGCGGCGAGGGGCCGGGCGGGCTTTTGTAAGTGGTAAGGTGGGGGACACGAGAAAGTGGAAGAAGATGAGTTCACAGACACATTCACTCCAAGTCCTAATCTCCATTATGATTAGGGGTGTTAGTCGGTGCGGTTTCGGTTTAACCGCACCGAAATATCGGTTAACCGCAACCAAAATAGTTCCAATATCACTAACCGAAACCGAAACCGACAGAGACTTCGGTTAACCGAAAACTGCAAACATCGGTTTCGGTTTTCCCTTGCGGTTAACCGAAACCGCAGGTTCTGGTTCACTTTCTCGGTTTTCGTTCAGAAACCGACCACCCAAAACCGAATTTCAACCACCTTTTTTAATGATTCACCCTCAATTTTGAGTGACCTGCTTTTGTTTCAGCCTCTATAATCACACACCATAAAGTCATCTAAATCAATTGAACATAAAGCCTAAAGCAACCACACAATTCGACCACAACTCCACAACATAAAGTCTACATGCCCATAATTCAACCACAAGTCACAATCACAACAAGACACAAATAACAAGTTCATTATCTCCAAATCATCAACCTAAACGATCCGAGGATCTCGCTCCAATTCATCTAGCCCATAGTCATCATTTACTCCAAGATCTTCATCTAGCCCATAGTCATCAACCTAAGGTTCACTCTATCGAGTGCAAAGGGGATTTAGAGAGGGGTGACTTTCGAGTTCTAACTCTTAAAAACATTTGAGACTCTTGATGGAGGGTTGTTTGCAATAGGTGAGAATTGGGATGTTTGGAATTGCAACTTTGATTGGTTTTGAATCTTACAACTTTTTCCCTTAGCCAAAGTAAAAAACCATGTAGTCACACTAGTAGGCGGTTATCGGTTTTCTTATCGGTTAACCGCTAACCGATTAATCGGTTAGCGGTTAACCACTAACCAAAATACTATTAACCGAAACCGAAATCAATAAGAAAATAGCGGTTATCGGTTAACCACTAACCGACTTTATCGGTTCGGTTGTCGGTTAAAACCGATAACCGACTAACCGTTTATCACCCCTAATTATGATTATAACGCTCTATTGCAATTGTACCAAACAAATTAGTGTGAAAAATCAATTAGTCACAATAATTTAAGTTGGTGTTACATATTTTGAATACGAGGATGCGATTCGAATAAATAAATTATTAAATTATAGAAAATCATGATAACATGTTTAGAACTAATTGGTCCCAATAACTCGATTTGTATCACGAACAAGCTTGTCAATTAACGAGTCGAGTTCAAGCCATGATATGTTCAGCTCGATAGCTACGAAACCTCCACCGTGCCGAGGTGTACCAAGACAACCATAGCTAGCGGCACGTCAAGGGCTTCGTGCCACACTGGAGTAATCCAATATGTGGTTCCGCACATTCCACCACTTCTCCATTCATTTCCAATACCGATCACGAAACACACCATGAGCAGCAGCCAAGATGTTGAGGTCCGGAATTCGAATTGATTTTTTTTTTTAATTTTCCTGTTCCTATTCGTCACAGGAAAGAAAATCAGAAATAGTTCGAGTTACAACCGACATATTATCAGATGAACTCGATTTTTGCTCGTTAACCTCGTTTGACGAGCTAAGCTCGAGCTCAAACTTCTATTTTTTAAAAAAAAAATGAGCTTAGCTCGAGCTTGCCCAACAAATCTCCTGTCAAATTAGAATCAAACTCGAGATTAAAATATAATTAACAGGTAAAATATGAACCATGAAAAAACTCGGCTCGACTCGGACCGGAGTTAACAACTCTACTTCCTATGTCCATTTATTCTCCTCTTTGTTGTATTTTCTTCGCCTAGGGAAAAGGGGAAGGTAGTGGGGTACACGTGGCCGGGGCAGATCGGATTGGCGTTGGGGAAGTGAGTGGGAACTGGGAAGCGAACGTGGAGCGCAACGGAGAGCGGTGGGTGGGCCCACAGGTGGGAGCCTGCCCGCGGCGACGCGAAGCTGCGTCTTGTAATTGATGATCTTCATGCTTTCGCCAGGAAAAGAGAGAAGCGTACGTTTTTTCCTTTTTATTTTTTCTTTTCTTTTGGGGTTTTGTGATGATTAAATATGGTAATGGGCATTATCATGATGATGATGCCGATCGAGAAAGAGAGGACGCGGCGGGGGCCAGCTGCTTGCTGCTGCCGCAGTTAATTCTTTTCCATTGTGGTTTTGGTGAGTGGCAGCTGGTTTGTGATATCCCACACACTCGAAAAAAAGGCAACCCTACATTTATTATATTTGTCGTGGAGAGAAAGTAAGAGAGGCTGTTGCCTGTTGGTTTGATGGCTTTCTTTCTTCTTCCGATCTGTTTTCAAACCTAGCCTCTTTTAAGTAATTTGGTTTGGTTTTGGACGAGGGCTGGTAATCGGTCGGTATCCGGTATACCGGATACCGAATAGTCGGTATTCGGTATACCGGATAACATTGTGTACCCACCGGATACCGATACCGAATGTTATCCGGTATACCGGATACCGAATACTCGGTATCCGGTATTAATACCGGTATACCGAATACCGATTAATGCATTGAGATTATACCATTAGAATTCGAGATAAAGAAACTGACGATAGCATTGGAGATTAACTAATTGGAATCCAATTGAAGTTTATTGTGAATACTTGGAACTTGAAAGCTGAAGCATTGGAACTGACTGACGCTCAAAGCATCCCTTTGGTGATAAGGAGAATTTGAGTTTAGGCAAAGGATTAGATAGTAGTGGTGGCGGCGGTTGGTGGAAAGGGATTTGCGGCCGATAAAGAAAGGGCGGGATGAATGTCCTGGGGGAAGACCGCCGGGGCGTGCTGTGGTGGCGCTGGAATTCACCTCGGCGGGCTGGAGAAGAAGAGTTGAAGTCGAACAGAGGAAAGGTGGAGGGGCCGATGTGCTGGGCTGCGCAGATGTTGATTTAATTTTAGAGTTTACACGCCCCCCCCCCCACACCTCCCAATTTCAAACGCTGTCGTTTCCTTTTTTATTTTTGTTATTCGGTATTCGGTATACCGATTTACCGTCGGTATATGACTGGTCGGTATTCGGTATACCGTTTGGCCAAGAAGTGCAGTCGAATACCGATACCGACGATATTCGGTATACTGAATACCGATTATAATCGGTTCGATACCCGGTATACCGAATACCGGTTTACCGAATACCAGCCCTAGTTTTGGTTTTGGTGATGGCTAGTGGCTAGTGGCTACACCAGGAAAGGAAGACATTTATACGTTGGAATCAAGAATGGTAAACGGTACTAGAGGTTATACTGAAAAAGCTAATGGTAGGATATATTATGTTAGAAACAAAAATTTTGAGTCGCATGTAAGTTGGAGAGCTCATTTCCTCTTTTGTCGTTGTCGTGCTTAGAGAAGCTAGAAAGATGAGAGAAGCTGGAACTCAAGCCGGTCGTCAGTGACCTTCGTCGTCGTTCGTCGCTCTATGTGTCGTGCTCGGTTGGTGACGAGGAGGGGGAATTGAGAGGGGATTGAGGGAGGCGGTGTTCTAGTCATCTGGGGGGGGGGGGGGGGGGGATTGAGAGAGCCAGAGAGAAGGATTAGCGTTAGTGGGTTAGCAGTTGCAGTATGCATGTTTAGGGTTGGGCTCGAGTTGTGGCCTAGTCTTGTGTCGGGCTGTGAGTGGGGACGAGCTTTCGGTAATGGACTTTGCTATGCAGGCTAGGCTGAGTTGGATTTTTGCTATCTGGTTTCTCGATTTTTCTTGGTTTTAACCAAAGTAGAACGGGATAGCTTGTTCTGTTGATACTACAACCATAAATAGAACCGAATTGATAGGTATCCGATTGCAACCGAGATAGTTTAAACTTGCCAAACTGCAAATTCGAGACTAGATTTCCAGCTCTAGTTAGGTGAGCACTTCTACTATGTTATAAAGTATTGGTGCTTTAATGTACAATTTGAAGTTGTATCATAACCTTAAATGTATAATTTTAGGTTGTACCATAAGAAAATTTGTACCCTTATGTTATGGTACAATTTTACAACTTAAAGTTGTACCATCACATAAAGATACAACTTCAAGTTGTACCATAAATGAATTTGTACAAAATAGTATAGGTACAATATAAAGTTGTACCATAACGTTAAAGGTACAACTTAAAGTTGTACCATAAAAGCAAAAACCTATAACACCCATAATAGTTATCATAAATGGTCACAAACCTATTTACTTTGTACAAAACGGTCACAATTCTTTAATTTTGCACGTTTCAATAATAAACGTTTGAGTGAATAACAAAAAGGTCAATCCGTCCACTTCCGTCCAAAAATCCGTTACATTTGCCCAATCAGCATGACACATCATTAAAAATATTAATAAAAAATAATTGAATCATTCAAATTAGCCACACAACCCTAACCGGTTTAATCACTCGGTTATGTCTTCCACGCGCGCTTCAGCTTTCCCCTTTGTGGTCTTCCATCAACTGGATTCCACCTTTCTTCTCCTGAGTCCTCTACCTTTTCTACCTCTTCATCCTCATATCTGCTTCTCTCTCGTTATCGTTACCGGAAAGGAAAAGCAAAACCATTATTGTCCCATGATGACAATTGACACCCAAACTACATCTACATCTACATCTAAAACTCTTTCCATACTGAAATTTTTTGCAGACTCTGATCTCTCTATCTCAAGTTCTGCGCTTTGCCTTCCAACTACTAATTGACCTCGCCGCAGGATACCCTACGCTTCCTTTCTTTACTACGCTTCCACTCTCTCTTTCTCTGTTGTGTGTATCAGAATGAATGTGCAGCTGGGTTTTGGTTGGTGTGGTTTTTTACCTTTTCAGATCAGATCTCTGATCAATTAGGAACAAGAAAAGCACTTCCGCCAACGAAAATCCCCTCCTTCCTCCGACCGCTTCCTCGACGCCTTCTTCTCCACCAATCCGCCGCTGCTCCACCGCGACGGCGAGGACACGAGCTGAACTAGGACAACATCTTCTCCACCGACAATTTCTCTTTCGATTCCTCCCGAAACAAACAACAGAACACCACTAGCCCCGCAACGCTCACCCCCACCCCCCCTACTCCTCCGCCTCGACCTCACCGCGCCACAAGGCCTTCCCCGATTCGTCGCTGCATTGCCGGAGAACAGCTCTCTCGCAAAAAAGTGACCTTTTGTCTGTCTTTACTTTCTCCAATACGACCTATTTAACCGGTTAGGGTTGTGTGGGTTAATTTGGATGATTTAAAAAAAAATTATTAAAATTTTTAATGATGTGTCATGCTGACTGGCCAAAAGTAATGGATTTTTGGATGGAAGTGGACGGATTGACCTCTTTGTTATTCACTCAAACTTGTATTACTGAAACGTGCAAAATTAAAGGATTGTTACCGTTTTGTACAAAGTGAATAGGTTTGTGACCATTTATGATAACTACCCCAATCTATCTATACTAAATATTATGGCTATTCAAAAATAACTTCTTGCCACATAAGCATTTGGTGAATGCACAAGTTGCCAAGGTGGACAATTTTTTTTACAAACAAAAAACTATTTATTGACCTATTTATGAAGCTATCTCTCTCTTCTTTTAATAATTCTACTCATTTTTACTAAAATTAAAACAAGTTAATTTTTTAGGAAACTTTTTTTTTTGAAAACATTTAAACAAACAAACACATACATAAGTAATCATCTTTTTTTTTCAATTAAACAAACTATAAAGATGGAAACAGAGAGTGATATATCGTATTTGTTTAACCCAAGTTGATTAAGTAAATTTTTTACTCATTTTTACTAAAATTTAATAATAAGTTACATTTTGATGAAGCAAAAAAAAAAAATCACACACATAAATAATAATATTTTCAATTAAACAAAATTTAAACGATGGTCTAAGAGAAAACAAGCGTTTGATAATCAATCGACTTTGAGAAATGATCGATTTGACTATATGTTTTTTTGCTATCAAACACTCACTTCTTTCTAATGTATATACCTATTAAATAAAACAAGTATAAATTTTATAGAAAAATGTTTGAATATAAACTTGACAGAGCAATAATTGTTATTTTTCAAAAAACTTATTATTTATTACGATTAAATAAAAACATATTAATTATTAATGCAAAATTTTAATTTGTTTCTGTCCCTTTTCCCATTTTGATGGTCTCACTAGAAATAAAATCCAACTTTGAAAATAAGAAATCAAGAAAGTAAGTCAACCAACATAAAAATAAACAAAACCCTCTTATTAGTTGCTATTTTTTTTTTGAGATGTCTAATATTTGTATTCTCATAATTTATAAGGAAGGAAATGGTAATGCATATGATTTTTCTTCTTCTTTGTATGAGAATAGGATGCATGAGTTACAAGAGGCAACGATTATATGACAAAATTTTGAGCAGTTGTCGAAAAATGTTCATCTGATCATTGTGAAGATGAGGTGAACCAAGCCGAGGGTTGTCG